ATAAAAACTTGTAATTTTCACTAAATTATAAGGTGACTTATTCTTACAAAAAGCAAATATTAATTTACCATAAAACTACATGTATTGTCAAGTCAAATAACCTTTATCTATGTAGTGCTTTATACAGTACAGATTGTTTCAAAGGAGCTTTACAGTAATAAACAGAAAAATAACAGAATCAATGATGCAAAATTCCTCAAACGTGACAAATTCATGTTCTGCTGTAAAGCAGCTCTAACAATAAAATAGTGTCATTAATCTGCTTCAGTCAGTTCACTGTTGGTTTAGTTCAGTAACTGTGTACAATTCATAAATTATGAAACAAGTTCAATTCAGCTATAAGCAGAAGGAAATTGTTATTATTCAGCTCAAATCAGTTCGACATTAACTTCAATAACAGTGCAGATGTTGCAAAATTCGTCAGTTATGAAAAAAAATTGCTTCAGCTATAAAGCAACTCTACAAAAGAAAAGAGCTATATCATCAAGCTCAGTTCTTGTCTGATAGTGTCAGTCCAGTCCAATCAATAATATTACTGTTTAGTGTCTTTTAAACCCCTGACCTAGCAAGGCATTGTCTTGTTGAATATAATTCTCATTGTATATTGTCATTCATATGTTTTACATTTACTGTAAACTGGTTGTGAGGAAGTGCACCAAAATAAGCAATTCAAGCTCCACTGTGGCACCACAACACATGGGTTATGATCGATATTGCAGTTGCCATCTTAATCCTTTTAATTTGCATTTTTTCCCATTCACTCATAAGCCATGAAGCCATATGTTATTATACTTGTCTTGTTTTTACTCTTGGTTCATGACTAACTCCGCATACCAACTCCAATTCCAGCCCACTTCCCATTGCTCCAATTCCTGACAAAATCCCATTGCCCACCATCTTGGATTTTGTCAAAAATCGGGCTTAGGAGAACCGATACTGACCAGTGAATACTTGAGATCCTTGAGATCTGCTCTAGAACTACAAAGTAATTTGTGTATATGGCAACCTGTTTATCTATACACCATACTAGTATCTATTTTTATGCTACTAGTACTTATTTTTTTGATACTAGTATCAGAATAACTACTACTGCCTGTTCATTTGGAGATATCTTCAATCTCATAAAGAACTAATGAGAATGTATTTGGAGATATCTTCATTCAAACAGATCATTATATAAACATGAGTACGTCTCCTCAACCGCCCAATCAGAGTTCGCATGGTAATACAATACATTAATATACTGAATGAAATGTATTATTAAGTAGGCCTAACTGGCTTTGTATGTTAGCTTACCTTGCTAATTGGTTACCATGAAAACACAAGGAAAGATATGTTTAATA